AGATGAAAACTTTTTCCTTAAAATTGATTAACCATTTTCGAAATCAATGAACTTTTTTCCAAAACCGTTGAACTTTTTCCAAATTTGTGAACTGTTTTTCAAAATCGATGAAATTGTTTTAAAACAATTGGCTTTGTTTTTCCAAATTGTGAACGTTTTTCTTCAAAAATTATGAACTATTTGCCATAATCGCAAACTTTTTTCAACATTGCTGAACTTTTCTTTTGTAATTTGTGAACTGTTTTTCAAAATCGCTGAACTTATTTTGAAATCAATAAACTATAAAAATGGATGAACCTATTTTAAATCAATGAACGTTTTTCTTCCAAAAAATGGTAAAATATTTTTTAAATGGATAAACATTTTAAAAAAATGATGAAGTTTTTCAAATTTGATTAACTTTTTCCAAAATTTAGAAAACTTTTCAAGTTTGTTGTTTTTCCTATTTTTGTGATTTTTTTTCAGGTTTTCGTTTTCTTTTTTTACTTAATTTACTATAGGTATATAATAAATATTATACGTAATACTGAAAGGGTCAGATAGTACATATTCCTGATAACAAGCAACAACACCCAGTTAGTCTAGTGGTTAATGCCGCAGGACATCGACATCGTTGTGCTGAGTTCAATTCCCTTTTCTTGCAGCGTTGATGGTAACTTTATTTCTTCATGTTTTATTTTCAGCAAGTTGCTAGACTGGCCCACTAGGCGGTGCTTTGAAAGATCAGTCTCACCTTCCCGGGATGCGATAAGTGGCGCACTGCATGTGCACCGTTTGTCGCGACTTGATATTTTCTTTTTTTTCGTAGATTTGTTCATTCAAAACGTTTTATTTCTTAACCGTGCGTCCAAATCTTGAACCGTTTTAACCATTGAATTCCTGGTGTCGAGATCTTCAAAATTAGATCTCATGTTGGTATGATGAACTTCTATTTTAGGAAAAACCGGATGGAAAAATGAAACCGGCAGTATGCTTTTTCCTTTCCGAAAGCCGTTTCCGAGAGGCACGATTGTGCCTCTTGCGGAAGCTAAATCCTTGCCTATTGCGAAGCAAAATTATGCCTCTCGCAGAAGGAAAAAAACGTGTTTATTCCCATTTCCGAGAGGCACGGCCGTACCTATCGCGGAAGGAATTTTTTTTCGTTTCTGATAGGCACGGTCATGCCTCTCGCGGAGGTAAAACCGTGACTCTCACGGAATCAAAATCGTGGCTCTTGCGGAAAAAAAAAAGTTGTACCTCTCATGAAAGGAAAACAAAAAAAATGAATTTTTTCGCATATTTTTTTTTGAATTTTCTGTTGACAAGCTAAGAAAGACCGATGAAAACCAAAAAGCCGAAAAAACTGAAAAAACATCTAAAACGCCCATACCTACTCGGCAGTGGCCCAAGAACTCGCCAGTTTCCTTAAAAACAAGAAAAGGATCGCTCGCTCGCTCACGAGTCACGAGCCTATTTTTCGTACAGGATCGCTCCCTCGCTCAGAACTTCCGACCCTCTTTTTTGTACAGGCTCGCTCGCACGTTCTTGAATTAGAAAAATATTTCACAGGTTAAAAATATATTTTGTGAATTAGAAAAACATTCAAGAATTTTTTAAAAATTCACAAATTTGGAAAAGGAGTTCATAAATTTTAAAGAAAATTTCACAATTATTGAAAAAGGTTCACCTATTTTGATAAGAAATCATCAAATTTCGCAAAAAGTTCACGAACTTAAAAAAAACATCAATTTTCAAAAAAAAAGATCAAGAATTTGGAAGAGAAGCTCACAACATTTAAAAAAGTTAATTGATGTTAAAAAAATTCAACAAATTTTAAAACAGTTCATAATTTTTTAAAACAAACTTAGCATTTGGAAAAAGTTCATCATTTTTCCAAATAAGTTCAAAAATTATAAAATTGTTCACTGATTTAGAATAAAAAATCACAAATTAAAAAAAGTTCTTAGATTTTAATAATAAAATCTAATATTTTTTTGTAAAAAAATCACGAACTTGAACCAAGTTCGTGCATTTAAGAAAACAAAAAATAGGAAAAGGAAAAATGAAGAATAACATGAAATAAGAACTGCGACCTGGGGAAAGAATTAAAGACAATGAGAAGAATTTACACACAAATGAGGTTATGTGCACGCATAATGTTTTTTTGCTTTCGTTTTGAATAGAAAAAAAGGGAAAGCGGGCCACCCCAGCGCACGGGGGAGGGGCGGCGCGCCCTTTAGGAAAAAGTGAAGAAACGGGCGCATAAGGCGCAGTTTAGGTTTTGCACATGCGTCTCTCAAAAATAAAATAAAAACTTGCGACAGGTATCCCTAGAAAACGATTTTGGCCCATTTCCCCTCTTTTTTCTGTTTTCACGAAATGAAAAAATTAACGCATGTGGAGAAACGAACGAGCAACCTCATGCATTGAGCTACACGACAGTAACCACCACAACAACATGCCTAGTCTAATAAATAACCTCTATTTCCATCTTTTCTTCTTTCCTTTTTTCTTTCTATTTGGTCTTTTTCTTATTTGTCGTTTGATCATTCTGTTTCTCAAAATTGATGATTTTATAATTGAATTCAATGGACTTATTTTCAAATTTGATGAAATATTTTCCAATTTTTTTTAAATCCATGAACATTTTTCAATTTTGATGATTTTTCAAATTCGGTGAACTTTTTTGAAATTCGATGACCTTTTAAAAACTGTATGAGCCTTTTTCAGATTTGATGAACTTTGTTCAAATGGATGAATTTTTTTCAAAATCAATGTACTTCTAAAACAAAATCACGGAACTATTTTTCAAAATTCATGAACTTTTTCCTGAAATTTGATGAACTTTTTTTCATAAAACATCAACTTTTCCATATTGTTTTTAAATAATTTAAAAATCTAATGAATAAGGTGGATACATTGTTTCTTAAATATTTCGCGTTCCTATCATTCACTAGTGCTTAGCAGCTGTCGTAGTTAGCAAAATACTTCGTCCGTTGTAGCGGCACGGCTTGAGTTCAAGTCCACATACACAATTTTACTACTCCGCCTAGGTCCCTTTCATGGTAAATTGTAGTGTGCGTTACTTGAGGCTATTCGAGCTATTTTTTCTGTTTTCTTTTTTATTTAGTTTTTTCTTCATTTTCTCATTCTATCTTGCATTTTGTTTCTTTGTTTTTTGTTTTCTTGCATTTTCTTTCTTCATCTTTTTTTCTTTACTTTGTTTTCTTCTCCATTCTTTTTCTTTCCTTTTTTCTTATGTTTTTTTTGTTTTCATTCTACATTTTCGTATGTGTCAGAAAACATTTTTTAATAACTGATCAAGAATTTTTCTATATATGTTCAACATTATCCAAATGCTTATTCAACATTTTTTTAAATACTTCTTCAACATTTTTGTACTTATTTTATCATTTTTTAGATACTTGTTCAATATTTTTCAAATACTCATTCAACATTTTCTAATATTTATTAAACATTTTCAAATACTCGTTCAACATTTTTTATACTTATTCAACAATTTTCAAATACTTGTTTTACATTTTTCAAATACTCATTCAATATTTTTAATACTTATTAAACAATTTTCAAAAAAAATTAAAATAGTCATTCAATATCTTTAATATTTGTTCAACATTTTTAAAATTCTTGTTTTTAACCCTAAGAAAAGAAGAACAGAAAACAGAGAAAAAGCGGGAGCAACTAGTTGACGAGCGCTCCATCGGAAGGCTCGCAACGATCACTTGCGGGCGGGCTGAGAGCACGCCGCCATGTGGCGCGCTTTAGGCGCTTCCTTCGGATTTTATTTTTGTTATTTTTCCGCACACGTTTTCAGCTTTTTAAACGGGTTTTTTCAACATTTTGGTTTTCCACTCCTTAGCTTTGGAGTAAAAAAATCAATTTTTTTCACAAAATATATGTTTCTTTTGCTTCCACGAAAGACACGGTTTTGCTTCCAGCGTGTTTTCTGTTTTTTCTTTCTTTCTCGAGAGGCACGATTTTGCTTCCGCGAGAGGCACGGTTGTGCTTTCGCAAGAGGCGCGACCATGGCTCTCGTAAACAGGAAAAAATGTGTTTTTTTTTCTTCCACGAGAGGCACGGTTTTGCCTCTTGAAAAGGAAAAAAATCCATAAGGTGAATCATAAATTAAACACGCCAGACAGATTGGCGTGTTCAGTTTCAAGTATTGAGGCTTAACACCTAGGCGTTTCAGGTGTACTCCCTCCGTAAACTAATATAAGAGCGTTTATAGAATACTAATATGGAGGGAGTACATTAGAACATGCAAGTAGGACAGCAGATGTACTGATGGTCAACATTGAACATGTAAATGCTGAGTTCACATTTCACCAACCTGTTTGACACGATGCCCTTGCCAAGATCCTTTTGTTCACATTGAACATGCAAGTAGAACAGAAACGCGCGATGCGCACGGTGTGGCAGAAAACAAACAACAAAAGATTCAACGTCTGAGAAGTGGAATTCGGGGGAGCTCGGTGTGGCCGAGTTGTCTAGCCACCTTTCATTGTACAAGGCCTAAGGTTAGAATGCCTACAGCTACAAGTTAACTTCACTAGTAGCAACACCTGGTATCATGCCACTTCGTTCAACGATTTGCCTTTTATTAAGCAAATGTCCAATAAGCAGGGTACAAGTAATAACTGATATTTCAATATCAGGCAGCAACTGGACACATGTCATTCAAAATAAATAAAAAACGGAAGCAACAGACAACAAGCAGAGTACCTTTATTTAACACCACTTCCATTGTAGGTAATATTACAGACTAACCACATCAATTTAACAATGAGCAGTTCCGGTAGTTTAAGTAAACAAGATCCAGCTACAAACTTTATAAACAAGATCAATGTTCAACACCATGACCAACCGCACAAAGCTTCAGAAACTCAGGAGGCAGACTTGCACTTAGTTTATTTTTCAGCTGCAGAGTGCTCTATGCATGGCATTTGGCATTACCATGCCCCTGTGACAGTCGTTGCACTCCCAGAACGGGGACATGTTTAAGTCAACCACGCCCTGAGGACATGACATGCTAGCTTAATCAGACTCTTATTCAATGGGGACACGACGCCGCCACTCGTGTCCAACATCCACGATCTTGAGGGATCTCCAAAAACTAAGGCATGCTGCATGAGTTCATCAGATACCTAGAGATGAAAAGACACCATTCAGTTAATAATTCCACCATAACTAACTACGAGTACTCCCTCTGTTCACTTTTATAAGGTGCTGTAGACATTTCAGACAGCACGCAAAATAGCTCAATTTCAGTTGTCTGAAACGACTTTAAAAGTGAACAAAGGGAGTAACATATTTGCAGAACAATAAGCAACTTACATGTGAGATGAAAGTCTCCAATGTAAGAGAAGCACCAAGGATAGAAACGATAGACTGACAATCAAAGCTCAGGCAAAAGGACATTTCTCCAAGACAGATGATCATAGATTTCAGGTCGGTGAGTTTGCTAGACACCATTGGTGAATTGACCATCTGCACAATGATGCCAGATTAATCACATTCCAAGTATTAACTCATGTAATCCCCCATTATGTAAGCACACCACCAGTTTTAGAGCATACCTCCCTGCTTGGAATGCTGGACGCCAGCTCTGCTCGAGTGTTACAACCAAATACGGTGCTGCTCATGTATAAGCTCTTCACTTGCAATGCTTTTCCAAGTTTGACTTGTACCTTGAGGCCACCTTTAAACTGAAAGCTGGAGAGATTTGGAGCTTTGTTCTCTATCACTCGCAGCTTGCTGCAATCTTCCACCTTCACATGCCTTAGACGCTGAAGGTGACATGGTATCTTCAAGCAGTTTACCTTACTGCAATACGTAAGTGAAAGCCACTCTAAAGCTGAAGAACTAGAAAGAAGGCAGCATAACTCATCCCCTGGAATACGCACCATAAACAGCTCTAATTTTGTCAAGCTTCTCAAACAACCAAGCAAAGCCATAGGATGAAAAGAACAATTGGTAAGGTAAAGACACCGAAGCGAGTCTCCCCTCCCATTTGATAAAACCGTGCACAGAAACTCGTATTTGCATTTGTTGTTTATAGGCAGACTAAGGGTGAGTTCTTCAATCCCTGGTGTAACTGCCTTCTCAAGCCATTTGTTGATATAATCACGGTCCTTAGCATTGTAATTTGGAACCAACCGAAGGCTGAGTTTTCTCACGCCAGTTCCTGAGTGGTTTCTCAGAATATGATCAATTTTTCTTCTAAAATCTCTAGCTGTTTCCTTTTCGCCTTCCAAGCCAAATGATTCTCTACTCAGAATGAGGTTGGAATGGCATCTCCAGGAAGACAGGAAGGACTGAGACACACAGGCAGCTCTCGCAGCATTTTTCAGTGGCATTAAGGAATGTATATGATGCCAGATGTCCTGCAAGCACAAGCATTAGAGGAAGTAAAACATCAGCAATGTAAGATACATGCGCATGATTGCACAAAGCGCACCAATGTTGCAGAGATGTACACCATGTGCTGGAACAAAGGTTAGGTATTGAGCATCTTTTCCTAAGTGGCGGCGATGTTTTTTGCTAAGAACGCCACTGTTGCCTGGTATGTTCCTACTTTATTTAGGCATGGAGCAAAGCACGGAGCAAATATGTGTCTGTGCATCTCGCTAACCAAGATGCACAGGCAGTATATAGCATGATACAAATTAAGACAAAGTATCAGAAGTAAATGTGTATGTATGCTGCACAAAGAACACATTTAAATACAACTCAACAGCGTTGGCAGCTAAGTCACAATATACAGTAAACAAATCTGAGTCACTAAGATGAGGAGATGATCCGTTGAAAATGCCAGATAAAGGATGGATATGCACTTTAAATGGTACGCAATGGGGATCTACCAGGGGCGGATCCACTAAGGGGCATGGGTGTACAGATGTACACCCAAATATTTTTCCAACAAAAATCAAATATATGTGTCTAATGCATATGTGACAAAAATACTAGCCTATAGTTCAGGAGCAGGCCACTAGCCCGACAGAAGTTCAGGAGCAGCCCACTTCTGTCCACGCATTTCTTGACGTCAGGGAGGGGAGCGTTCTAGTGTAGCAATTTACAAACTTCTCAATTTGGTTCTAATCCTAACAGTCGTAACAGCCAGGATTGAGAAAATATTCTCTTCAATTACTTTTGTGAAAAACAATCTCGTGGACAATTTTTATATTTTATTTCTATTGCCGTGAACCAATTGGCTTCTCTATTAGGGAGAGGAAAAAAATTGAACACCCAATGTTGATTTCCTGGATCCGCCACTGGGATCTACCTGCCTGCCTAGTTCTATTCATGAGCAAAGAAAGCAGCCTAGTTATTACTATAACTGTAAGTTCTGAGAAGCTAGACTTTGACAGGCTGACAATGGAGCAGTAGTAAGTAATACTGTTTGACAAGACATTCTTTGCAAAAGGAAACTGCATTTATCAACATACATCATACGACATACCTCTGGAAGATTTAGCTCTGAACACTCCTCTGTTTGACTGGCACCACCTTGTTGGCAGGGTGAGGCCTCTGTCTTTGCCTGGCCATTTGCATAAGTTGATCCATCTGGAACACAATCTTGTTGGCAGGGCGAGGCCTTTATTCTTTTACCCCTTGAAGAACCAGCTATCAATCCATCAGTGATACATCAGCGTGATTAATTATAATATGGACAGTATTGATGGAGTAAACTTAAGTCTATAATACCCAATCATAACCATTAGATTCGTCAAGAAATATACTACCTCCGTCCAGAAATAATTGTCGCTCAAACAGATGTATCTAGACATATTTAATGCTAGATACGTCAGTTTGAGTGACAGCTATTTCTGAACGGATGAAGTATTTTATTTATTTAGTATTTAAAATGTTGATATATTTTGCTATAAACTTGGACAAAATAGAATCTTTTGACTTTTCCAAAACCTTACACCTTATATTTTCGAACGAAGGGAGTACACAAATCTAGGAAAAAAGAGTATGCGTCAATGATTTTAATTAGTTGGAAATATAGAGGCCCTGTCTGAGACTCTTAGTTTTGCAGTGACTATTTGTGCAGAGTTAGTGCTGATAGGTGGTGCTTCCCACAATTCTGACCGTTGTAATAAGCTGGGTTTTATGCTACTTGTAGAGCTAGAATTCTGTTGGCTGTAGGATCTGTGTGTGTGTGTGTGTGTGTGTGTGTGTTGGGGCTGTGTTGTGTTGGGTTCGCTCATGGTTGCAGCTGCCTCGGTGCGAGAAGCTTGTTGGCACTTTGTTTTATCGGTTTCATCTGATGAGATCAGGTGCAATGGGATCCTTAATTCAGAAAAAAGAAGAAGGAGCAACAGAATAACCGTATAAGCGCAGAAACATACTCCTGTTTATATGGACAGAGCAGGGTAAAGGTGGCAACTTTATATGTTTTTCCTTATCCAGAAACCCGAGGAAAGGAACAAACATTCATTGGGATATAAAAGATTAAAAAAAAACTGGCCATCCAGCAAAGATGATTTGGCATTCGATCAAATGAACATTTGCTATGCAGAGATGTAGGTAAATTGATCAATTTGAAACCACAAGGTGGTGTGGGTAATCGAACAGTTCTGGGTGTTATTGTGCTACTAAGTGACAGAAACAGGACCTTGAGACAAAAAAAGATGATTTTTTTCCTCTTTGGCAGGGAAGAGAAAACAGGAGAAAGCAAGGATTTTTATGCTCAGCCAACTAGTATCTTCTAAGGAGATGTAGGTAAACCATTGAGATCTGGCCATCCAGCAAAGATGATTTGGCATGACAAATCTTCATTCTGTCAAATATAAACATTTGCTATCCAGAGATGTAGGTAAATTGATCGATTTGGCACCAAAAGGTGGTGTGGGGAATCGAACAGTTCTGGGTGTTATTGTGCTACTAGTAAGTGACAGAACAGGACAATGAAAAAAAAGATGATTTTTTTTCTTCTCTTTGGCAGGAAAGAGAAAACAGGACAAAGCAAGGATTTTATTCTCAGCCAACTACGTATCTTCTAAGGAGATGTAAGTAAATCATTGAGATCTGGCCATCCAGCAAAGATGATTTGTCATGACAAATCTGCACTCGGTCAAATATAAACATTTGCTATCCAGAGATGTAGGTAAATTGATCAATTTGGCACCACAAGGTGGTGTGGGGAATCAATCAATTCGGGGTATTATTGTACTAGTAAGTGACAGAAACAGGACCTTGTAAAAAAAGATGATCTTTTTTCTTCTCTTTGGCAAGGAGTGTCTTCTAAGGAGAAATTAAACAATCAAGGGAGAGGAGATGTAGGTAAATCGATCAATTTGGCATCACGATTTGTGTTATTCTCAAAAAATAAAATCAACCATCTAATCTAAGAGGAGATTAGAGGAGATCTTACCAGGGGGGTAACGGGTTTGGCGCCGGCGGCGATCCCGCTGCTCGGACATGGCCTGATTTAGCTTGGGACGTGAGTCGAGAAATCACCAACCCTTTGTGCTCTGCCTCCTCCAACGCTAGCTTTGGACTAGTACGGTAGCTATTTATTTGGGCCAACTGACCAAACAAACCAATCAATCTTATGTTAATCCGGATCGGATCCAGCAAGGTTGCCGTCGGGCGGGGACGAGAGGAAGCAGGATCTGGACTTGCCTTTGGAGATCGATCTTACTTCGGATCCCACCGGGAGGAGACGCGAGGAATCAGGATCTCCACCTCTCTCTCTCTCTCTCTCTCTCTCTCTCTCTCTCTCTTCTGTAATAATCTATAAAGATAAAGAGAAGGGGGAAAAGGGAGGAAGAAGGAGGAGGGAAATCTGGATCTCACCCGTCCCGCTCCCGCTCTCAATTCCTAAATTTCGATTCGAAGCTCCCCACGCGCGAGGGCGGCGCCGCTGGACTAACCCTATCTCTATCTCTATCAAGACCAGAGCACTGCCACTCCAGAGTGCAGACCGGGGAACACACGGATTAACTGTGGGGCGGCCAATAGTGGTGCCGGTGCGTCGCGTCTTTGGAGCTGACTCAGCGTCAGTGTAGCCGCCACGTTCCCGCGCTACTCCTTTTTCTTTTAAATCAGCGCCTTACTACAATCTCTACCTAAGACTAGCCATACTAGGCTTTTTTTTAGGGGAACCTTGCTGGATAATCGGTACTTTATTAGTACTAGGTATAGGTATATTACATATTAGATACTAATAAAGTACCCGATTATTTATCTCGAAACAGGCTTCACCCTGCTTTATATATAAGATGGTGTTTGTTTCAGGAGTCTTAGGGCTTTTTCTAGTCCCGGGGAAATCAAAAAAGACTCTCCAGTAGAGTCTTTTTTAGTCCTTCTGAAAAAAGTTCCTCTTGTTTGGTTTCTAGGGACTTTTTCTAGTATCTGGGACTAAAAAGTCCCTGAACCAAACACCCCCTAAAGCACCAACCACACAAAATACACGATCGAACAATACAAGATAGTGAGGTAACCCTTTTACAAAACCGATCCCAGAATAATCGGATAAAGATCTAAAAACACCGCCACACTACATCACAGTACACCTAAGCTCCATGACAACGCCCTTAGGAGGGGGAACGACGCCAGGTGTCGCTGTTGTAAAGAGAAGGGGGAAGGGGAAGAAGGAGGAGGGAAATCTGGATCTCACGCGTCCTGCTCCTGCTCTCAATTCCTAAATTTCGATTCGAGGCTCCACACACGTGAGGGCGGCGCCACTGGACTAACCCTATCTCTATCTCTATCAAGACCAGAGCACTGCCACTGCAGACGGGGAAGCATGGATTCACTCTGGCGCGACCTGTCAGATCGTCGTGCGTCGTGTGTGTTAAACTAACTTGGGCTAGCCGAGCGGCACGTTCCCAGCATATCCGAAGTTAGAGCATCTCCAGTTGTGTTCCCAACAGGCCCTTCCCAGTCGTTTTTGCCACGCTAGCGCCCAAAAATCGGCCCAGTCGCGTCTCAGGAGCCCGTTTTTCGCCGGCTTGGGCCGAAATCGGCACCGACGGCCCCAGACCGAACCCGGCGCGCTGGGGGGCACCCGGGGGCGCAGGCGAGGGGTTTTGGCGCGAAAGCGCCGTGGGCCCGCCGAGTCAGCGGCACGCGCCTCGTCTTCCCCAGAACGCCTCGGTTTCCCGCAGGGAATCAATGGCAAGGCCGCCGCCGGTCAGCCTTGCCATTGATTCCTCACGGGCGGTGCGTCACGGGCTGGCTGGCACGACAACGCCTCCCCTTCCACCACGCGTTCACACGGCCTGGGGCTATAAAACCAGAGGCTTCCCCTTCGCCGCTGGCCACACCAGCCCGAGTCCGCCAAGCCCAAACCAGTCGCCGAGCTCTGCTGCTCTCCCCTACCCTCCCCTTCCCCTTCCCCTCTCCATGGCCGAACGCTTCCCCGGCGACGCTGCGGCGGCCAACGGCTTCGGCCGCCGCTCGCTCCAGGAGTGTGAGGCCTGGCTCCTGTTCGAAGCCAACATCCCGATGCCGCCGAACATGCGCGCCGGG